AACAATATATTACAATAATTGAGATTAAGCGGGTCAAGACCCAACCCGTTTTTCAGCCCATTTGACCCCAAAGTAAACTTGGGCGGGTTAGGACTTAGGATCCAACCCAATTCCTATTTCAACCATTTTAATATCTCCAATTTCAACTCAACCCACCCATTTGACACTCCTAGTTTCAACTATTTATTCCTTTTGTTAAACTATTGAACTACATTTTTTCATATTTTTATGTATCACTTGTCATGTAACGATTTAATTAAATTACATTTTTACGTATTTTTATGTATCATATGTCATGTAACGATTTTGTTTTCTACATTTTCTTATTGAGTGCGTTCTTAAATTCTAACTCTATAGTTGTTCATTATTATGTCTATAACTATCAATCTTTAGCTATAATGTGAGATTTATTTGTTTATTGAGCAAAACTATTAATTTTTCTTTTCGTATATGTAAATTTTGAAGTACCAAGTCAAACTCTAGATACTGCTAAGCCCGCCCACAAAAAGAAAAAGCAATCAAATCTTTAAGCATACAAACAAGACAATCATCTTTCTAACAAATCATTCATTTTTTCCTTTGATGATCTTTGATAATGCATGCTAGCAAACACGTATTTTTTATTGAAAACATCTTATAAGGAAATAGTTATAGAATGTAATTTGAAATAAGATGAAAACAAAAAAAAATGTAACATTAACATCATTTTGGTTCCAATATAGGAACCTTCGTATAAGAGGAGTTGGGTCGTTGAACCCATCAAACATAATCACTATCCTTCTCTACTTCAATTGGCTGGTTAGTAGGTCACTTATTTGAATTTTCGGGATGATATACGCATCAATGCCGAGGAAGGTAATTTAAATTGCACAATACTCATTTCTTGATCCGTAATAAAGTTATCGATATTTTCTAACCTATCTTTTTTGTAGTTCTACAAATTCGGATGGAACAAGAATTTTTTGATCATTTAGACAGATTTAACGACAGTGAAACACCATTTACTTTGGAGCCCAAAGTGGAGGATGGGCAAGATTTTTAAAACCCACCCAATCCATTTGGTAGAGAGGAAAGCCAAAAGTAAATCCATTTGGTAGAGTGGAAAGCCAAAAATAAATCGAAGATCTGATTTTTAATATTTTTATTTGTGAGATGTAAAGTTATTTCTTTCTCTTTTTTTTAATGAAAAAACTTTATGTTTTCTATGGTCTTAACCTAAAGATAAATATATGTATATATATAATATACCAAAATATTTTTTAATCTTGTCATATGGAAGTTAAATTTAATAATTGACAAAAAAAAACATTCTTTAATATTTTGAAACGAACTAAAAGAAAAACATAATATAATTTTTTTTGTAAAAAATTTATAAAAATGGGGCCCTCAAATTTGTGGGCCGAAAACAGATGCCTCATTTTAAAGGCATTGAGCCCAACCTGGCCACTTCTTCTATATGGCTTAAAAAAAAAGTACTTTGATGTATGTTTGCTTACATTTTCTTTTTGGAAGGCTGGTAATAAAATCCTATGTGATTTTGGTTTCCTTTTTTAGTGTACTCGAGCTAAAGGTCTTTGGAAACCGTCTCAGGTAAGGTTTATAGATACTATACCCTTACTTGTGGAACTTCACCAGGAATGTTGTTGTTGTTGTTGTTTTTATTTGATTTGAATTATTAATAATAAGTAAAAACATCGAACTTATTGGTCTCAGAGGAAAGCCTTGAATTTTTAATCTTTCATTGTTTTTTCTAATAGAAGATGAGGGAAAATGAGTTAAACGAGATCCGGGTGATTTTAAAAAAAAAAACATATATGGAGTAGCTAATTGGGTTGTTTAATATGACAAAATGTTTGAAGAATAGAGGTGAAGTAGTACTATAATTCTATTGTACAAAAAAAAAAAAAAAAGATATTCAAAATTGCAATAACTATAGAAGTATCAAGCTACAAAATCATACTATGAAAATTTGGAAGAAGGAGGTGGAGATAAAGACGAGGAGGGTGTCTATTGGTGAGGGCGAATCGACTATTAAAGTTACCATCCATCTTGTAAGGATATTGGTGGAGAAAAAATGAGACATGTTTATGGTCTAGAAAAAACATAGGACGCAATTTAAGGGGTTTCTTTGGAGACGTTTAGAGGCTAGAGTTTATATTAGGGTAAAGGATATGAATTAAGTAGCCAAGACCCGAGTAAGGACCGTGGGAAGAGATTAATCACTTCCCAATCTTACCACCACTATAAACCATCTCTGCCATCATTAAGTTTCATTTTTTAAATCAAATTAAAATTTGTTCTAATTAATTAATCTTTGTTTTATTTTTTTTACAAATAAATAAATGATAGTATTGGTTAATTGTCCCTAGTTGTACCAAATTAATTGTGACGCCCCAACTTAAGATAAGAAGCCCCACAACGACAAAAATATAGGAGAGATGTTGGGTATATAAGTAAGTGAACCTTACCAACTAGTGACGTGTTTTAAAGCCATGCGGGTCTAAGCCTAGAGCGGACAATATCACTACTAGGTTGGGCCGTTACAAATGATATCAGAGTCACTCGTGTGTCAGCCTTGTCGATGTGGGCCAGAGTTCAACTGAGTTTAGGCAAATCCCAGTAGGGGGAAAACCTCAGTGTTGAGTCTAGGCAAATTCCATTGGGTGGGGCAAACCTCAGCGAGGACGATGGATCCATATAGGGGGTGTATGTGATGCCCCAGCTTAATATAAGAAGTCCCACATTGGCAAAAACATAGGAGAGATGTTGAATATATAAGTAAGCTAGCCTTAACAACTAGGGACGCATTTGAGTCGTATGATTTATGAAAAAATACAAGAATTTTATTTGGTCACATCTTCAAATTATAAAGGCCAAACACATAAACAACCCCTCAAACTTGCCCTCATTTTTCATTTTGGCACTCCAACTTAGCCTTGTTCCATTTTAACCTTTAAACTCCATTTTTTCTATACCATTCAAACACTAATACTAATTTTTATGATTTTTTATTTATTTATGCTCTTCAATTGCAATTTCTTATTTTTAAAAATAGACGTGTGTCTGTTAATTTTCGTAAAAAAATTAAACATTCTCGAACGAACATAAAAATTTTCAAACAATAATATTACTTTTTGAGATGTCTCTGTATTTTTGCATGAAAGTAAATTGACGAAAGTTTTATATTTCCTTTCTTAAACATTCAATCAAATTAAATAACACTACTTATTTATTTTTTCTTATCATCTAGGCAATCTAAATTTAACGCAAATACTCACTTTTTATTTTTAATATAAATCAATACGAATAAAAAAAACTACATCTTCAATACGAGTAAAAAAGAACTCTTGTTCATTGCTAATAACACTACTAAAAAATGTTTAAACTATACTGACTTTGTTAGATTGTCGGCGATTTTTAAGAAAGAAAACCAACACAATTTCGTCGGTTATTTTTCACACAAAAATACATAAAACTCTTAAAAGAAATTATTATTTTTTAAAAATAATTTTTTTTTGTTAATTTTTATTTTTTAAAAACTAAAATTTACTTGACACATGTAGATTTAAAATAAGAAGTTGCAATTGAAGAACATATATAAAAATAAAGAAATCATAAAAATAGTATGTCGTGTTAAAATGGTACATAAAAAATGATGTTTAAGGGTTAAAATGGAACAAGGCTTAGATAAAGTGCCAAAATGAAAAATGCGGACAAGTCAGAGGGGTTGTATATGTGTTTGGCCAATTATAAATATATTTTATGATCTTATGATTGACTTCTTTGATTGGTGTGAGAACTCAATCTCTTGTCCCAAGTTGTCATTCCAAAATGATACAAGGCTAATTGTAAAATAATATTTTGATCATGAATTTCTATGACTTTGGTTGATGATGTCAAGCCAACGTAGTATTTTTTTCCAAAAACTATTTTAGTTACTTTTGACTTTCTTTCAAAAAAGACTATTAACTTATCTTTTTCCACACTATTTAGTTTTTTTAAAAAATAATTATAGTATTTGTATCAGTTTGTATGCATTTTGATCAATTATATGAAGTAGTCGATATTGCCTACTGGCTACTAGTAATATAGTCCAACTAATTGAGATTTAGATGACGTTTGACTCATTAAAGGCGAACAATGACATAAATTTATTTTCTTGTGATTTGAAGTCAAAATCTCCTCTTACCATATTGTTTATTGTCAATATTACTATCTTCGATCGAAAATACTTATCATCACTTTTTTGCTTGTCGACATTCAAATTATAGTATATTTTTTTAACCAACATTTCAAGATGTGTTCTTTCACTATATATATTGATATTCACTAATTATTATTTCACTTACGATTACAGTAATTTTATCGAAGAAGAATAATTTAATTTAACCCAACTCAACCATTTACCGCCCATAATTTCAACAACCTAGCTACAATTTTGTAGTTCAAGTTGGTATATTTCAGAGCAAATTATAATATATAGTTGCATTTTCTTCCTACAATTTCTTCTTTGATAGTTAGGTGAAAAATCACCTGAAGCCCACATTTAGACTTTGGTTGTTTAATTATGTCACGGTAAAATAAACCTCATGATAATCATCCAAATATTGATTAAGTTACGTTTCACATCACATTAATTGTTGTAAGAAAATGGAGGATGCCACTTGGAGACTACCAATTTAGTGACTTTCATCACTTATCATGGTGTAAGGCAAAGATGCATGCCATGTGGAAACCATCCTTTAGAAAACTACCAACACTTGGCAATTAGTGGCCAAGTTATACATTTGTAATTTACCTTACTGCTATACATAGCTATTACATTTACGAATGAAGAAATATAGATCGAAAGACATTACTCTCTCCGTTGTTCTTCTTTTAAGTGTGTTAATCTTAAGTTTGCTAAGTAATTATTTTATAGCACGTTATCAGCACGAGACTTTGCCAACTTGATCTACTTTAAATAGGTAAAAAGGGTAAGAATTTTATTTTTCTAAAAAATGTCTAATATTTCTAAAGTTGAATTTGTTGCCTTGGATATATCGGGCAAAGGATACTCATCATGGATACTAGATGCTGAAATCCACCTGGATGAAATGGGTCTGGTAGAAACCATCAAAGATAATAACCAGGCATCCAGTCAAGAACGTGCAAAAGCTATGATATTTCTCCGCCACCATCTTGACGAGGGGTTGAAAATGCAATACCTCACTATTAAAGACCCCCTTGTACTGTGGAATAATTTGAAAGATAGATATGACCACCTGAAGTTGGTCATTCTTCCACAGGCCCATCATGATTGGTTTAATCTGAGGTTACTAGACTTTAAAAGTATAACTGAATAAAATTCTTCCATGTATAGAATTATATCACAGTTAAATTTATGCGGAGAGGAGGTCACTGAACATGATAAGCTTGAGAAAACATACTCCACATTTTCTGCCTCGAGTATGCTTCTGCAGCAGAAATATAGAGAAATGAGTTTTAAAAAATATTCTGAGTTACTTTCACATCTTCTTATTGTTGAACGACATAACGACCTATTGATAAAAAATCATGGCAGTCGGCCCGTTGGTTCTATGCCACTCCCTGAAGTGAATCAGGCAAATTATCACCAACGAGAAAGAGGTTGTGGCTTCGGTCGTGGCCGTGGTCATAAAATAAATTATAATCATGATGGATGGTCGTCTTGCACCAAAAAAATGATCAGCAATATAAAATGAAGGGTGAAAGACAAGAAGTGATACAAAAGAAAAAATCAGAAAGTGTATGTCATAAATGTGGATGAATAGGGCACTGGTCGCGTACTTGTCGATCATCTAAGCGTCTGGTTTAGCTTTATCAGGCATCCTTGAAAAATGGTGATAATAATCCAGAAGCAAACTTTATTTCTGAAGATAATGTTGAGCCCATACATAAGATGAATAATAATGCAGAAGCAAATTTCATCTCTGAAGATAATGTTGAACCTATGCATCTGGATGTAGCTGATTTCTTTGTATTCCCTGAAGGAAAAATGATCAGTGACGAGCCCGCAATAATCTAGATAATTTCCTTTTCTGTTTGTTTGTATTAGTTGGTGTGTTTATGCTTTTCTAATCTCTGTAAATAAATAATGTTTATATAATATCCATGTTTAATAGTAATATTTTACTTTGTTTATATTTGCTTTTGAAGAAAATATGGATATGCCCCAAACTTCGTTTGGATCAATGATCAATCATGAAGATATTTGTGTAATTGATAGTGGAACAACGCACGCCATATTCAAAGATGAGAAATACTTCTCTTACTTGCTTAGAAGAAAAGCAAATGTTACTACAATTTCCGGTAATTCGAACTTAATAAAAGGCTCCGGAAGAGCTACTATATTTCTACCCAACGGGACAAAATTTGTTATAGAAGATGCATTGTTCTCTTCTAAATCCCCAAAAAACCTGTTAAGTTTTAAAGATATTCGCCGAAATGGATATCATGTTGAGACAATAAATGAAATGAATGTTCCATACATTGGTATTACCAAGATTGTCTCAGACCAGAAATATGTGTTGGAGAAATTATCAACTTTATCTTATGGCTTATATTATGCAAAATAAGTACAGTTGAAGCACATTCTATCATAACCAGAAGTTTACTGACTTAAAAAATTTTGTGCTTTGGCATGACCGAATAGGTCATCCTGGATCAATAATGATGAGACGAATCATTGAAAACTCAAATGGACATCCATTAAAGAACCTAAAGATTCTTACGAGTGATGAATTTTCATGTGCTGCTTGTTGTTAGGGCAAATTGATTATTAGACCATCACCAATGAAGGTTAACAATGAATCCCCTCAATTTTTAGAGCATATACATGGGGATATATGTGGACCTATTCACCAATCTAGTGGGTTGTTTAGATATTTTATGGTCCTAATAGATGCATCTTCATGATGGTCTCATGTGTGTCTCTTATCATCTCGCAACCTGGCGTTTACAAAATTATTGGCACAAATGATATGATTAAGATCGCAATTTCCAGATTATCCCATTAAGGCAATTCGCCTTGATAATGCTGGAGAATTCACATCCTAAGCTTTTAATGATTATTGCTTATCAATAGGGATAAAAGTTGAACATCATGTAGCTCATGTTCATACTCAAAATGGACTTGCTGAGTCATTTATTAAGCGCTTACAATCTACTTATGAAAACTAAGTTACCCACTACTATTTGGGGACATGCTATCTTACATGCAGCATGTAACGACTCGGAAAAATGATAGGTTAAGCAAGAGCCTATGACTTTGTGTTGACTTTATAATGAGGTTCTATGAGGGGTTTTTTTTGTAATGTCGTTTTAATTATGTAACATCCGACGATTTAAAATGAATATGAAGAAGCTTGAAATTGGAAGTAGTCACTTTTGGAAAAAAAGTTCAGAACCTGGAAATTTGGTTAAGTGTGGGAAATCAGTGAGTTTTTGGCCAACTTTGAGCAGTCATAACTCCTAGATCAGGATGATCCAGGAGTAGTTCTAGTTATGTTTGGAAA